TTTTGCTCAGTGCATTGTTGCACAATGAAGGCTCCAATAGGAGAGCCAAAAGCTTGCAATAAAAGTATTTTAATGTAAAGAAAAGTTCGTTTATAATTCTACATATTAATTTACCTATGTCATGAGTCTTAAACAACAATTGTTTTTGTAATGTTGTATTGAAAAAGTGTATAATTTGTTATTATAATGTTGTATTAAAAAATGTACAATTTGTTTTGTAATGTTGTATTAAAAAAATGTATAATTTGTTTTTGTAATGTTGTATCAATGATATTGAATAAATGATATTACTTCTCACTTACTTTTGCAAATGAGCATATTGAAAGTATTCTGACTGGAGCTGAAAGGTATAAACAAGGTACTAAGAAGAGGTAGAAACCAATGGAAGGTGGTATCAAGTTGCCAGAAAGGTAGTGGGAAGGTAGGTACAAGGTAGTAGAATGGTAATAGGAATATGCCATGTTGGCATTTTAACATACCAAATTGGTAGTATATTGGTAGTTCCACTATGTAATATTACCACATAGTAAAAAAGGTCTCTGATAGTCCACACTTTTATGCAAAAGTTACGTTAAGTAAACTACATAATCACTACCAAACCACTATGTTAATAATATATATTTATTACATAAATGTGTTTGTTGGGAACCAGCTGAAAGTTACTGGAACTGCTGGCAACAATGAACTAGACTTCAAGACACATGGTGAAATTTAGAACCCCTAGTGGTAGGAACAAGTAAAGGATTGAAGGTTGCAGGACAAGAAACAGTTATGGGAGAGGTCGTGGTATAAGAATGAGAAAAACAAGTAACCAAAGACTAAAGGGTTCTAAAGACTGGAAAATCTCCAAAAACAAACATATGGAGAAAAGGAGCCATCTGGAAGTCACAAAGATAAGGGGAAGGTAGATCCTTCCCAATACAATCCCAACAACAACAAAACCATGCACAAACAGATAGGGCCAATGAGGGCAATATGACCAAGGAGGAGGAAGAAGGGAACGTTTATCCTCAGAAAAACCCTCAGGGGAATGGTGGAGTACCTCAGAAAGATGTATGTTGGATAATTACTGCAGGAGAACTATAAGGGTAAGATGAAGGCAGGAAAATGGATCGAGTTATCAAGGACAGCCTCTGCATTGGCTAAAGTGACTCCAACAGCTGGAAGTCAAGAAAGGGTTGATCAGCTAGCTAATAAGTCAAAGCATAAAGATCAATAGTCCATAGAGGATGAGGCATGCCAAATTCAGTCCTCAGGTGAGAAATGAAATGCTCAGCATGAACCCAGACGTCAGAGGAAGGAGGGAAAACAATAGACCCTAATGTTGAATGTCATATAAAACAAGAAGGAACACTATCAGGTAACGTATGAAGACGGAACACACCTGAGGAAGCATATCCAAAAAGGCAGAATTAGGCCAGTAGATCTCATAGGAGATGCATGGGAAGGCACAACATAATTAGGAGGAGGAAAAAAAACTGTCAAAACCCTCCTCATCATAAACAATGCAGGAGGAACACAAAAATGGTTAGGAGAAAAAGGATGCCTCATATAATGATCAATCTCCCAACGAATGATAGCCAAAAAATCCTCAGGTGAGACCCCAGACCTGAAGCCAGTAATAGAAAAGTAGCAGTAATAATATCAGATGTAAAACACAAATTTCAGAATTCATCTTAAACTGTCAAAAATGAGAACAAAAATTAATAAAAAAGGTAAGTTATTACAGCAAAGAACTACAGAACAAACAAACTGTAGCAAATGAATAAATCAAGTGAGTCACTACTTTGTGAAATAAATGAAACAAACATGTGAAAAGAGTACAATTAAAAAACGTCTACACTCAAATATTTCCTAATGAGAAGTGATAGTTTGGTAGAATCAAATAGAAGGAGGCACAAGTGTTAGAAGGATGTGTTACACTCCTGTTGGTAGAGGGTTGCCGCATGATGATTTACATGAAAGGTGCAGTTGAACCATGGTGATTGTAGAGTAAGTGGGCGTTTAAGGCTTGTAAAATGCGAAAAAAATGTGTCATATAGAGGGCAGCACTGAACAAAAATAGCTATACATGTGAGAAGAGATAATGTACCATTTTAGAAATAAGGTACTACAATTGTAAAGAATAATCACGGTAGTTTAAGTTAGGTTTTTCTTAAAACATATGTTAAAAATGTAATCCTGTCACACTCATACATACACACACACACAGCTGATGCACATTTATTTAGAAGCAAAATCCACGTTTTTTGTTTGATTCTATTGTCACTAGTTACCTTGAAAACTCAGAGCAAGATTTATGTATTTGTAATATACCCATCTTGTTTTAATTAAGAATTCATTGAACTTTTATCTAATTAAAGAGGAGTAAAATTCTTTATTACTAAATTTAAAATGCAGTTATATTTCATAAGAATTTGGGAATATTTCTATTTTAGAATTTTGGTATTTTTATATTTTACAGAATCTTTTTTATAAACTAATGGCAACTAAAATCTTATAAGGATCCAAACTGTAGCTAAAACAATTATCTTTGAATTAAAATCAATCCTTTTCAAAATGGTAATTCTTCCTTAAGAAATTTCACAATAATTACACTGTGGCAAGTAAAAGATTCAGCTGAAAATAGAAAAATTAATCTTATCTAGATAATGCCTTATTGACCTAAAACTTGATTTAGTCAAGTAGGTAAACATATTATTTACAAAAACTTCAGAATATTTCGTTATACAGCAAAACAAGTTAAAATAAACTCTGGAGACAATAATTATTCTTTAAACAATTAAATGCTTCTTGTGCATTTTTAGTAACAGTAGTAATTTTCACTGTACAAGATAAAAATATATATCGATAAAATAAAAACTGTCTATAACCAATTTACCCTTCATTAAACTTCTATTATTTGGAATTATGATCAGTTATCATTCTACTAGACATATTTCTAAGCTTGTGAAAAATGACTTACGTCAAGTCAAAAGCATCTTGTATTCTCCGGTACATGTAACATTCTACATACAGCCAAGCTGCTTCAAACCATCGAGGCTCTTTCTTCATTTCTTCAGTTTGTTTCCTAAGGTAGTCATTCCATATTATTACATCTGATCTCTTACCCTCAAGAAGTTTGAGAGGCTTGTTGGTTTGCATTTCATTACGTAACATAGAGCATTTTCCAGTTACTTCTTTACCTTCTTCTTTTCCTACCTAAAGAAAGTATACAAAATTAAGCTCTTCACAAAATTTTAATGAACAAACTTGGTAAAAATTAATAAACTGTTTGAATATTAACCATCCTCCTATATGAATGTATAAATTATCATGTCTACTAACAACAAAAAAGTTTTTTGTTTATTTATAAAAAGAAAGAAATTTTGCACATCTTTTATTAAATATTGTTTTAAGTGGAAGTTTTTAAGTGGCATATCAATTAACATGTAAAATTTTTCTAAAAGTCCAATCAATACAGTTTGGGTTGAAAAAATTAAGCACAAATTTTTTTAATGATTTTAATTTTTTGAATAAACTTTTCATTGGATGTGAAAAATAACTGACTTGTTTTCATCAATAAAATATACATCTTTTTTTTTTATGATAATAGTCAAATTAAATATGTTCTGCTAAGGTGTTGTAAAATAAAAATATTTGGCCTTCAAAAATAAAATAAATATGTAAAATCATTTTCTAGGAATGATTGTTTCTAGTATGATGATGTCTTTATAAATCTCTCAAAGTGTAATATAAATTATTCAACTTGTTTTTTTAATGTTATAATAAAGATAAAAAACATTTTTTATGCCAACTTATGAACAAAAGAACTTTATTCCTCTTAGCATGCACAATAATTGAATTGTTTGATATATATTGACATATATTAACCTCGGAACCCTGCATTCAATCACTAACATTTATTTTCCTAAAAACCCAAAGAATAAATCATTTTAATTAATTTACCACTTGTGCCAAATGGTACTTTATATCTCTTAGATTAAGCAGAGTGAACCATTTTTACAATTACTGCAAAATTTTTTATTGGTAAAGTAAGTGCCTATAACTACACAGATTAATTGTTTTCGAAAACTCATACACAAAAGTACAATTATGGAAATACCCCCTCCAAAATCTTGGGTATGCCCCTGTATATGGCATAAGAAAAGTGAATTAACCCATGCTTGGCAAACAGCAGAAGCTCATAAAAATAGTTCTTTTCTGCTGTATGAGATGTTTATGTCTAATTTGATTATTCTCAAAATGTTCACACTTTTATATTTTCTGTACAACATCAGTAAACTGTTCTGCAATTTAAAAAACTCTGGTATAATGTTTCAAAAATTTATATACAAAAACTTATATATAAATGTACATATATAATGTAAATTATTTTATGTATTTTCTCTCTTACAATTTGTGGTGTAGCAAATGTGTCAACTATATAAATTATACTAAATGAGCATATTTAAATGAAATGAATATAACAAATTTGTCTAATTTATTTACAAGTTAATTATAAGTGATAATACGAGTTTATTCTTTAAACAATGTAATTGCTAGTTATTAATATTGTATCATTTTACTAAACAAGTTTAATATTTTCTCCATATTACTAGATCCATGATTTAATCAATATGTTAAACATGAATTACAAATTGACAATAATTTCCTGTTGTTTCTTATTATTGTTTCATATTATTATAACACATTATACAACCCAAAAAATATACAACCAAATAATTATATATATATATAATTATACCCCCTAACTGTATTACTATTGACTTAATTTTCACTTCAACAGTAACTTCCAATTACAGGAAATTGCCAACAATCATATATCTATGATCTATATATATATATATATATAT